AGAACTGCAGAGCAGCAGACCAAACAGGCTAACCAAAGTTCGCTACTATCCCTAATCTTCATCTCCTTCTCATGCTTCATCTTCATGGCCTTCCTCTCTTCCTTCAGCCTCATAATTCCAGCATCCTTGTCAAAGACAGATTTTTGCAGAGCCAAATTCTCTTCAGCAAGTTTGCCAATCACCTGCCTAGGCCTCCCCTGCCACTCTTTTGTCCACCCACTTTAGATAAGCACATGTGTCATAACCTTGAAAACATAAAAACCACCAATTTTGGGTAGACATTCAGTACAACACAGCTGAATTCTTAAATGAATAATGAATTTTGCAATGCCATTTTGAGGAAAAGTTTAGCAGCTCACTTACCTCAACAGGACAGACAAGAAATCTACGACCATAATCATATCGTTCACAGCAAACTATTCGTGCTGGGTTCATAAAATGGCAACATTGGTCACTACTGTCAGTGCCATTGAAGACAACATCAGGAGATGACATAGGTATACTCCAGTCAACATCTTTATCACCTTGCAAGATCACTATTTGGATGAATGACTTTTTGGTCAGCCTAAAGATCACCTTGCAAGAATCAACCTAAAGATCACTCAACAACATCAACAGAGGGAGGACACGCACCTTGCAAGAATCAACGTCCATGTACCGCACTTCGCCGGTGATCTTCGCCCAGGGCTTGCCGTCTATCGTCTTGTCAGCGCCGACGAGGTCACATCCATGGAGCGGGCGAGGATGGCTCAACGACGAAGCCGTCCCTGCCCCATGCCGGCCAACCTGCTGCTTCCCGCCAGAAGATGCCCACCCCTTCATGTCACACGAGGACGGTGGACAAAAAAGACTACGAGAGTTGGCGGCTGAGCTGGGTGGAGCTGGCGACGGTGAGGGCGGCGGAGCTAGGGATTTGGTGATGGGGAATGGATGCCTGCAGCGGATTTAGAAAAAGGAAGGGACCGCGACATAAAAACAAAAAAAGTGCAAAGGCTTTCTGCAAAATCACCACGACCTGACAGAATCCGACGTGGCTGCCAAATGTCGCCTCCAAACCGTTTTGGGCCAAAACTGAATCCGCATAGTGGCTGCCAAATGTCGCCTCCAAACCGTTTTGGGCCAAAACTGAATCCGCATAGGAGTCGGAGGGGCACTTTTGTGGGGTTTTTTAGTTTCTATATGAATCTCTTCCCACCCCTACAAGTTTATGTACCAATTATGGTATTAACTTTTTTATCAAGACTTGGACCTGTCCCTACGGATACAAATATGGTCAAATTTGTCTGTGCATACATGACATCAAAACGGTCAAAAGTGCGATCAATATTTCACGCATGCAACACGAGAATATCAAGGATGCTCAGATAACAGTTTTGAGAATATCAAGTAGTACAAAAGATACTTAGATAAATTACACATATAGGAGCTGGCGACATTGCTTAGATAGTCTAATAAATAAGGTAATAGGAGCACTTCTTCGTCCTTGCGCTGAGTGAAGGTGCAGATGGCATCAGTGAGCCAGAGTTGATAGGATGTGAGCTGACTTCAAACAAAAACTGCGCTGATTCCACATCTCGGAAGTCAGGAACCTGGTTCACATAAATTGCAGATATAAGCCACAAAAATTTGCTGGGGATCGAACCATTATCATGCCATGAACATATTGGAAGGCGGTAGATCATATAAAAGCTAAACCGATAAGCAAAAAAGAAATTTAAGCTTATGTAGATGGTGCAACAAAACTGAAACATGCATGAGTGTTCAACTTTTTCAATTAAAGATTTTCTGAAATAGTGTTCTGAGAGTTTGCAAGATTTCAGATGAACTGAAAAATGCTGAGACTTCTTTACAAAAAATTAATGCCAAGTACTATGAGAAGAGTATTTGTGTCAATTGGGCTGTTTGTTAAACTGAAAAAACCATGTACCAGTAGAATGAATATTAAGCCATGTCTATGTACAAGTAGACTGCTACAGAACATTAAGCCGTGTACAAGTAAAGCAAAATACTGCTGACAGCATCCAATGATTCCAACTTCCAAGCTATCAAAAGTTCCAAATATATTAGGTACTTCCATGAAAAACTATTTAAGCGCTAATGAGACGATGACCACACTCTTATAGTACTTATTTCCAGCTCTCTCCTTTTTTAGACAAAGTTGAGCTAATCGATATTGGCTGCCGATCACTTGGCAAAATAAGTAGAAATGTCTTTTTTTTCTTTTTAGTTGTTAAGAGGCATACCAAATAGCAATATTTGATTAATTAAAAAAATCAAGGTGCATGCATCACATAGATTTTTCATATTACAGCTTTCTTGCCCCACAATTCTCACGAGAAATTTAGAAATGCAAACACAAGTATTGTTAAAAAATAGCCCGAGGTAACAATCATGTTGCAACCATAAAACATGATGGGTTGTATAACTCTCAACGATTGGCAGATTTCATGCACATGAATCCAAAATGTGCAAGGTCACAAATGAAGCAGGTATTTGTTTCTAGGTACAACACCCATAACACCCATGATTTATTTATTTATTGGCACAAATAACACATAAGATAAAATGTCCAATTCCAAACATTAAAAAGAGCATATCAAATTTAAAAAAATTCAATTTATGTAACAGACTTTACCCTTAGTTCACTTAAAAATTAATCACCGCTCTTTTCAAAATTATATAGTAACACCATTAAAAAATGATACAGCAATCAACCCAGCATTTTGGAATTCTAGAGATAGCCTGTAAGCTAATTAAGTGGCTAAAATGAAAAAAAGATGTCATCAAACTCCATCGCCATAATTGGCCCCATAATAGTGAATGCTTTGAAATGCAAAATATGATAGACCGGGATAGGGATGATTTGTGTATAGTACTACACTGTAGCCATAAACTATGAGCCAGGTAGAGGAAGAAAGTACAGGTATGCAATTAGGCCTTCTACCACTAGCATATATCTCAAACCTAGAGGATTTAACAGAAATTGTGACTGCAAATTCTAAAACAGTATTTCGGAATGATTGCTCCACATTCATGCAGATATGTGCTACCAAGTACCAACGCATGCACATGAACATGCAACAAACAACTCAAGGCACCACATAGGAAATGATCTGAGGAATTAAGCACAAGGTCAGGCAACATCGATGAAGAGGAAAGGTTATACCAATCACCAGAAAGTCAGTTCTCTGGAGCGAGGAAGGCAGGCGGCCACGCGTGGAAGTAGGCGCACATCGGGTGGCCGTACTCCTTGCCATGTTTGGTGTGCAGGCGCTCGATCTTGGCCGTGTCCAGATGTAAGGAGTAGCGCCCATACCCCATGGTTCTGATGAACAACTTGCCGGTACGCCCCGCGTCCATGTCGCTGAGCCAAACACTGAAGATCCTGAGGCACTTGTCCTTGGGCAGGCCCGGCACCGAGTCGTACACCTTGGTAAGATTCATCTCCCTCTCCAGATACCACCCATCGTCGCTCCACCTGGTCTCCCCACGCACCCAGACCCGCAGCAGCTGGTCCTCCACGGTCGCGATGCACAGCCGCCCGTCGTCCGGCGTCTCCCCGACGCGGAACTTGCCGAAGCTGGGCATCTCCTTCGGCGCCAGCAGGTAAGAGAAGTGCAGTGTGGAAGGGTCCAGCGAGAGCACGCGGCCGGAGTTGCAGATATGCCAGTAGAGCTTCCCGGCGGCGTGCACGCAGCGCGACTCGAACCACCAGGGGTCGAAGCTGACCTCCACCTCCGTGGTCCGCGGGAGCGCGCGCCAGCGGCACTGGCCGTTGTCGACGGACGCGACCCAGACGCGGGGGTGCCCGCCGTCGATGGAGATGCAGACGACCTCGAAGCAGAGCTTGCTCTGGTGCGCGCGGGAGAGAAGCCCGGAGCCGACGTAGTGCCTGCAGCTGCGGTGGTCGTCGGGCACCGTGTCGCGCGGTGGCGGCGGGAGGAGCACGCGGCGGCGGGTGGCCGGGTCGATGACGAGGAGGCGTGGGAGGATCCCCTTGGGAAGCGACGCGAGCGGTTCGAGAAGCAGGAGGCCTTGGTGGCAGTCGTGGAGCACGAAGCGGGAGGCCTCCGGAGCGAAGTCGAGGGAGAGGTTCGGTGCGGAGGCGTCGAGGGGAGCGAAGACCGCGGGGGCGTCGATGACGGTGTCCTTGGATGCCGTGTGCAGGAGCGGCGGCAAACCGGTGGCTGTGGTGTGGAAGAAGTGGCCGAGGAGAGGGGCGATGCGGGGGAGGCAGCATGCGGCGAGGCGGCGCCAGCGGTGGCAGGCGAGGGCGGCACGGAGAAGGTCGGCGAGGGAGAGGCGACGGAGAATGTTGAGGAGGCTGTCCACGGGGAGGACATCGACCGCCTTCTCCGGCGACGGCGGAGGGAGAGTGGTGGACGGTCCGGCCATCGCCATGGTTTGTGCCTAGTGAGAGGCCAGGTGTCTTTGGCTTGGCTTATAGTGAAAGGACGGAGGCAGGTACGTTTGGTTTGGGCCAGGCTTTGGCAAGGAAAAGCAGCATAGAGTCGGGTTTACCACCACACCGCTCGCCTTTTCTTTTTTACTCACCACATCAGTCACCATGGGTGAACTCTTCTGGAAATATGAAATTCGAAATGGTCTGGTTAGAGCAACTTCAATGAGGCGATCCAAACGAACGGCGTCGGTGCTCCTGTGGAGCGTTGCCAATGGATAATATGTCATAAATTTATATAACTCTCACGTACTGTGTGTTGGTACAGTTTTGGACAAAAAAGTGTTGGCGATTCCGACCTATACCAACAGATGCATTCTCATCTTTGTAGTGTCGTGGTGTAGTGTAGTTTAATTTCTCAGTTTAAGTTAGTATTGATTTTCCCTTTTCTCTATTCCTAGTCTCATTCTCTCTTTACCATTTCCCCTAGCAACCTACTTAAGTGAACTATTTCCAAACTTCAGTTTGGGTGTGAGCGTAGTTGTGTAAACTGACAAAGCAACTGCAGGGATTGTGGTACCATCCTTTTTGCTTCCTATGGGATCGACAAACCTTACTTTTAACAAAATTGCTACTTAGTCCCGTGCCCTTGCAAGCCATCACACACCCTCATGAAGGTACCTCCTGTTACCTTCCTCTCAAAGGTCCAAATCGGCCTGAATAGCCCAAATCTAGCAGCATGCAAACAACAACCATATCATGAAAAGCCTCGATCTGAGCATTGCCCGTTGTCCAACTGCCTCGTGCTCATCCAGATGTAAAACTTTGTCGAAATCACCCAGGCACATCCATGGGAGATTACTAAAGAGCTTATACTTTTAAGCATCCCACGTTTGGTGTCTCAAATGAGTCTGAGCCTCTTCGTACCCTACCGTCACTCTGCATGGGTCAAAGCCTGGTTCAAGAACAGAGCAATCTAGATGGTACATAGAGGAACCAAGATATCAATCTTTGTTTCATTCTTCCAAAAATGCCAATAACGCCACTTCTTCTCTGACTATCAATAGCATATCCTTTATCATTCCCTAGTGTTCCTGCTAAAGCTTCTACCCTCGAGCCATCTAGCCGAGTCTCTACTATGCAAACGAGGGTAGGGGAAAATTTCCTCGCGAAATCGTGAAGCTCCCGAACTGTTACGTCTCTGCCCGCACTACACTGTGTGGGTTATGTTTTTTTTTAAGCAATCTCGCGAAGCTTTTTATTCGAACCGTGACAATGTTTAGAGGGACGAAAGAAATGCCGTTACGTGCCCTGGCCACCTAGCACTTGTCCACGACACAGTCCAGCCGGCCCAATAGGTACTTCCGGCCCAGCCCGCTCATTCTCGTTGTCGTTTAGTTCCCTCCCCGTCCACGCAGGAAGGAGAGTCACGACAGCCGAGCGCACTGTACCTGCCCCCGCTCATCTCCTTGATAAAGCTGGCACAAACCTCCCACATCAATCCGCATTTCTTCTTTCACAAGATGAGGAGCCGCTCCCTCTCTCCCTCTTCCTAGACGGCGGCGGCGGCTACTTCATCCTCTTCGTCTTCGACCGCCCCGCCTCTCCGACCGAATTCAAGCAACCAGATCCTCCCGGCCGATCAAGCCCACCTCCGTGCTTGAGGTAACGTCCGAATCCAAAGCCATCTATTCCCGCAACACAACCTCGTTCGCGCAGAGCTCCGGGGCGCTCGGGCGTCGTCTAAGACGATGATCCGGTGCTAGGTTGGTCGCTCCATGGCCACATCTTCACCGCAGGAACACGGTGAGCATTTCCAGCGCTAGATCGTGCTCGATCTCGTGCTCTAGTCTCACACATACGAGCACTGGCACATCACCGCCGAGCTCGGGCGTCATCTCCGACGACGATCCGGTGCCCGGTTGGTCGCTCTGGTTAACATATGCACCGCAAGAACACGATAAGAATTTCCATCACCAGTTCACGCTCGATCTCGAGTTCTGGCCTCGCACGCATGCGCAACGCCACACCACCGCCGCGCTCGGGTGTCATCTCCGACGACGATCCAGTGCCCGGTTGGTCGACTTTCCACCGCCAGTAGCTCGATCTCGAGCTCTGGCCTCACACTCACGAGTACCCGCACACCACCGCCGCGTTCGGGCGTCGTCTCCGACGACGAGACGATGATCCGGTACCCGTTTTGTAGTTCCCGTTGCACCATATGCACTGCACAAACGCGACGAGTATTTCCAGCGCTTAGATCTCGATCACGAGCTCTGACCTCACATACATGAGCACCGGCACACCGCCACCGCACTCGGGCGTCGTCTCCGACGACGATCCAGTCCCCGGCTGGTCGCTTCCGTTGCACCCTCTGCACTGGACAAACACGCCGAGTCTTTCCACTGCCAGTTGGAGCTCGATCTCTAGCTCTGGCCTCACACGCACGAGTACCCGCACACCATGAGTCGCCTCTTGGGCTCGATGCCGTCGACCCCCGGCCGTGTCTCGTCCAACAAACGACGTTCTCTTATTCGCTCTTTCGATCGCACCTTCACAGACTTCAAGCAGACCCTGGGGACGTCCTCACGGTGCCCCTCCGCCGCTCTGTTTGGCCACCGCCGGCGCGCTACCGTTCTGCACGCACGCACCACACCCCGTTCAACTGCAGAACCTCGGTCCGAATCAGTACGCGACGCCGGTAGCCGGTGACACCTCAAAAGCGCCGATCCCATTCTCTTTCGGTCACACGAGCATACATCCGAGCGGAGCGAGTTCGATTTCAAGCCAGGCGCAAACCATTCTGCTCTTTTACCAAGACACTGACAAATAATAATCAGAAACATCTGTTTCACTTGTTTCAGGACCATGGGACGTGATCGTGACTTCAGTGAGGAAGTGAAGCTCAAATGCTGGGATAAGGCAGATTTAATCATGGGGCGCGATCCAGCAAGGTGGCGCTATGACAGGATCGGCACCCCTGTGATGAAGGACTTCCATGGCAAGAATGGTTTATGTGGTTGGCAGTATGACCACGATACGCCAGTCTCAAGGGGAGGCACGTCGGAGCTGAGCAATTGCCAAGTCATGCAGACTATGGCCAACAAAAGCAAGTCCAGCCGGGTTCATTTACCTGATAGGCTTGCTCAATCAGCCTCCAACATCCAGCTGAACCGTGAGTTCTCCTCAGCCTCCAACAGCTGAGTAATTGGCAGTTTTATCTTTATGGACAAACTAACCAGTTTATTGTTCTTGTTTTGCAGAGGAGCAACGAGACATGATCGAGATGGCCTACTATGGCAACGTCCATGATGAAACCGGCACACCAATATGCAGATGCATTACCAAGCATCAGGAAGCTGTGGGTTCAATCAGAGATCACATCCCGGCGTGCGAGGTTAAGGAACCAATGTGCCCGCCTTGTCCCAAAGAAAAGACACGGAGCCAAATTTGCTGTGGAGACAAGCAAGAGAATTTCAGGAGAACAGTGAAGAACGATGACAAGTGAAGACTACAGAATCAGCTTCCAATGTGACCAGGAGCCTCAGGGTCTTCTGTCTCTTAGTTATGGAAAACAATGCATATGTTTCTTTACTTCTCATCCTCTGGTTATGTAATGATGCCCTTATCTGCCTTGCTACCTTATTTAATTTGGGAGCCATTTGGAAAGACTTGCTGGCAACTGGATTTTTCCTTTTCGGCCAGTCAAATTTGTGGCCGCATATTCAATGCGCTTTTGTGATACGTGTGTATGTCGACTAACTCTGTTACTTCTCTAGCCGATTTTATTTTGCCTATCCTTGTTGAGTGCAGGATGCAGACTGCATGCATGGATGCATGTCTTTAGTTTCTGGCTCTTGCACACACGTGGATGGATGAAATGCATCTCAATTTTAGTGTGTGTGTTTCCTTTAGTTTTAAGCACGTATTTTCTTTTCTTTTTTATTTTAT